CTAAAAAAACTAAGAACGTAAAGAACCTAATAAAAGCTGAACCGAAAATCACAACCCAGTCCTATTATATTCAATATGATAGTTCACATACAACGTGGATCACAATATCTTAAACACAGTAATAATCGATGAGTTCTGAATTTATTACATTTTCTCAAATTAAGTTAAATCCGCGCCGGTGCGCGGGTCAAGATCTAGTTATATCCAATTAAGCGAAATGTTTTTAGAATTCGTTGATTACGTTAGTTTGTTTCGTGGGTGACATTTCCTAAAGATGTGAAAAAAGAAGTGACATGATTATCAAAGTAGTAAGTGAAGCAAAGTGTGATCACTATCTTGTTCATTGCAACCATAGTTCTGGGTACACCATTCGTATATGATGAGAGTGAGGTGCCTCATTAGAAGACGGGTCGTCCGCTGCCAAGAGCTTGTTCTCCGCCTCGAGTAGTTCAATATTGGAAACGTAATTATATAGATGAAACTAAAAACCTAAAGCAAAAAAAAAGAACACTCAAGCAACCAAGGGCCATATTGTTATCTATTATTTCATCATATGTAAAAAAATGATTACAAGATTTGGTAGCTTTTACAGTATGTTTAGCTTGCTTTGTGACTACTATAATTTGTGGGACCTATGCAGCATGAACGTTAGTCAGTTTGTCATTTCACCATCGAATACCAAAAACACGGTAGACTCTGAAACATCTGAGAATGACAGCTGCACACAGTATCTGCATAATATACATAGTTGACATTTGGTTAATTGGTGCTAGGTTTAGATTTTTCTTCTTTGCAGTTTAGAGTTAGAGTGAACTTAGGTTGAGCATGGCTTACCTTACCATCCCAGTAACATCATCTTCTTATAGGTGCAGAACCTGAACACCTCGGTAGGAATAGGGTTGATGGTTTTTGAATCTAAAAAAATTGTTTTATAATTGAATCTAATAAAAACGGGTGAATCTGAAGTTTTGATTAATCCTTGTAACATCGAAGCCACTGAGCTGATACATGGATCCTTCTTTTAGAAGTTGTTGCATGGTCCAGAATGACAATGGTCTGCGATCAATAAAAGAGAATCAGAAGTGAGCAAGTTAAATAAAAGGGAACCAGAAATGAAGGTGGGAGTTAGCCATTATCGGAGGAATTTCAAGAAATACGGTAAACCATGGTTTCCTAAAGACGAAGTGATCCAGGAAGGTTTTTCACACGCTCTGTATATATACTCATTCTGAATGATCTAGAAGATATTGAAAATTGAAGAAAAAATAAATAGTGAGATAAATTGATTAATTGTCATTACAACGCACCTTTACGTCTCAGCAGGAGAGTGAAGGAGTGGCGGCCGGTGGTTTGCAGCTGTTGATTATTTTATGAAGTTTAGCATAGAAAGGGTAGCGTTGTTGTTTAATAGTGAAAATACTTTTGGGATTCCATTGCCGTGCGTCTGTTCATCAGTGTGAATATCTACATGAACATGTAATAGTGTCCAAGTATAAGAGAAAGTGAGAGATGCAATAACTTACAGCAAATCTTAGAAGCAAGCATGATTTGACAACACCAGAAACACCAATGAGCAAAAGCTTGAACAAATAGTCACTGGAAAAGAAGCATGTAAGAACAGAGAATCAATTCGATAATTCTTGAAAATTCAACAACTACTATTTTATATAAATCGAAAAACATCTGTGCATGAATTCAAAATAAATAAATAAAATTTTCTCAGCCAATTTCATAAATCTAATAAAAGAATACCAATAAACATAATAACAAAAACCAAAATTGGTAAGAATATCATTCTTCCAAAACATGATTTTAACATAAAGACGCTAAATCGATTTGAAGGATATGATGAGGGACGTTGTTACTATTTAGGATTCCTGGGATCGAGCTACCTAACAACAAAGACAAGATTCAGCTGATAAACCGCGGTCCTTTGTTGGTGAGAAGAGCAGTTGAGTCGGGAGAGAGATATAAACAATGACTATGTGAGTTTAAGTGAGCTTTTCTTTGAGAGTGTTTGAGATGAGCTCGCCATCATTGGAGACAGAAGTATTTATAAATTATAATCAAGCTCCTGACAGTTTTTATGGGAGTCGAAGAGATCAAATAAATGGTTCTCACTGTGATAAGGATGAAAAGGTGAGAGTTAATAAGGAATTAATGGGAAGCGGAGCGATTACGGCTGTACAGATCATGTTCTTGCGGCGATTTCGAAGAGGAGGTAAACTCTCGACCTAGGGAAGAACCAAAATGACCTAAAAATTAGTGGCCTGTAACTTAGTTAGTTAGTACACCCAGCCCAACATCTTATACAATAAACCGGGCTAAGGAACCTAATACAAACCGATATGCATACACTTAATTTTATCCGGTTTAATTTAAATTATTAATTGCTGACGTGTTTTTTTTTGCCCCACTCTTTGATGCTGATGTGGAGGCTTAAGAAGTGAGAAAACTCATCTTTATTGTATAAGAGCGACTTCGAAGAGGAGGTAAACTCTCGACCTAGGGAAGAACCAAAATGACCTAAAAATTAGTGGCCTGTAACTTAGTTAGTTAGTACACCCAGCCCAACATCTTATACAATAAACCGAGCTAAGGAACCTAATACAAACCGATATGCATACATTTAATTTTATCCGGTTTAATTTAAATTATTAATTGCTTACGTGTTTTTTTTGCCCCACTCTTTGATGCTGATGTGGAGGCTTAAGAAGTGAGAAAACTCATCTTTATTGTATAAGATGTTATGTTATCTCAGTGCAACGATCAATTAAACTCATAAAAAGTGTAATGGGTGTCAAAATGTATTCTTTATTGTTAACGAGGCCAATAAAGGCTCAAGCCACTTAATATAAAAGCCCATCAAAATAGTATTTAACATGATAGAGCCATGAGCCTGATTGAAAAAAAAGAGAGGATAAAGTGCCATATAACATCTTGTCTGTTCATTTAAATTTATCAGATCTGTGCCATGTCATCAATCCGCATGAAGAGCCACTTAACTTGTAAGACCCAAACCCGGCCGTCCAGGCCGCGGTCGAAGCCTCACGTCGCTCGGTCCTCTTCCGGACCGAACCTCTAAATTTTTCGCTCTTTATAAATAATATCGCCCATAGGCGAGGGCTAATTCAGATCTTAGCCTAAGACTACCCTAGTCTTTCTCTAGCTTAGATCACTTCTATTCATATGCAGTGGATTATTCTATACTAACTATTGGTCTACAACCAATCTAGAACTTGTCTGGTCGAATCACCTCAGCCTTGGTTAGTATTCTCAACTACCACTACCTCCAAGGTCGATCCTGAACCCAAACCAAGTCATACAAATCCGAGGTTCCATTCCCCTAAACCATTCTAGCTAGTACTAAAAGAAAGTAGCTAGATCATACATTTGCCACATCCACGGAGCTTGTTAGCTCATCGGTCCAGCTGACCTAGTCAGCTCATCCTCCTAGTTGACTTAGCTAGCTCATACTCCTAGCTGACTTAGCTAGCTTGTCCAGATCGAGCTGATACATCTAAGCTAGCTGAAACCGAGCTAAGGACAGCTGCCTCAGATTGTTTAGCTAGCTCATCTAGCTAGCTAAGCTGAACCACTTCTCTTGAGGTTGCATCTAACCTCTTCCAGCTGATCGAGCTACAAGATAGTTGCGCCCAGCTTCCTGCCAACTCATCCAGCTCTCTTACACCTGCATAAACATCTCCCCTTGGGTACTTGGTCATTCAACCAACCATCCCCACTGACCAAGTAACCTTTGGGAAGTCTTAAATAGTAAAGGACATGCATCTAGTTCTTCTCAGCTCATGCATCATCCTTATTCTTTGTCGAACATGATACCAAGTCCTTCTCATGGACTAACAATACTCATCAGATCATAAGTCAACAAGTACTAGCCTTACTCATCTCCTTTGCTTGCTGTTGGTTCCAAACGAATTGGACCTTGCACTCCACATGGTTCCTCTGATACTAGGACCCCATGTGTCTCCTCAATGAGCCAGATCAATGGTTCACACCACGATCAAACCCAACATCAATCCATGATCCAACATGGATCATTATCACTAGGATATCATCTAACCATCATCTCACATGGATGAGGTAGATCATCAATGATACGATCCTTTTCTCAAGGTCTTGGATCCTTATAACACATCACCAATACATATCTAAACCAATATTCTAGCAACAGTTCTAGAAAAGTATGGTTCGGTTCCTAGAATTCACTATCTGGCCAAATCTGACCTACTCCAAATAAATCCCTAAAAATTAAACAAAAACCTTGAAAAATCATGATAAATACTAACTAATAGAATGGTCCAATCAGATTCCCAAGAACCAGGCTGGATCACATAGACCTGGACCCAATTTAGCCAAACCGGCCATAAGGGACCACCTTTAAATCAATTCCTAAAAATAATTAAAAACCATGATAATTCATGATAATTCTCCACTAAGAAGAATATGTAATCAGATCTTCATAAATCCCACTGGAAGTATGAGATCTGACAAGATCAGGCCAGCCAAGACCATCCAAGGCCATGGACTGTCCAACTGTGTTCATCAAGGCCTGGCCTTGCAGCCACAGTGCCTTATCTTCATCAACACACACACCACATCATATCAATATATATAGTCTTCAAGGGGCGTGCCATACTTGGCCTCAACAGCGCCACAAGAGACAGAAACATAAACTGGAAAGTAATCATAAAGTGTTACGTTATACTTGATGGTTGTTGATCTTGTGTCCTCCTTTATCAAGAACGACCACACTCCTCTTGATCATGTCTATATCAGACCTTATCACATACCTCCAGTATTGATAAGATCTAACCATGGGTCGTGCCCATCACTCCTTCCATGAAAACAGTTTCTGCACTGCATCCACCTTCAAGACTGTTCATGCCATTGAGGGTGGAGTCAGGCCTTCTCCCTTCTCTCCTATTCATTTTCGTGTGTTCCCAGGACACAGAGGAAGCCTAGGGCGTGATCATTCATGATCAAACACCACCCAAGGATTGTGCATCACTTCCCATTTCAGTGCCCATGAAACTGCCTTTCTACACACATCTACCTTCAAGGCTGACCTTGGACTTTGAGAGTGAATCCGGTCATCTCTCTTCTTCCCTGGCCATTTTCGTGTCTTCTATGGATGTAGAGGAAGCCTGGGACATTTTCATCAATGGTGAAAACCCATCACAGGGTCGTTCATAACTTCTCACTTGATTTCCCACAAAACTGTCTCTTTGCTGCCTTTGAATCTCTCTTGGGGTTTGGATTGGAAGACCAACTCTCTGTTTTTATCTGGTTTTTCTTTGTGTTTCAGGGTGAAGAATGGATCCCTGGTGTGCCTGCAAAGGCACGCACTTGCCTGCCTTTTAAAGAAGAAGGGGCAGTTGCCTTTCCAAGGTTGCACCCTTTCAAAACCATTTCTGGCCATTGATTTAATCAATGGTCCAGATCACACCCATTAGCCACAGGCAGTTACCAGCCGTACTGGGCCTTCCAAACCACTCATGCACATGTCCAAAACAAGTCCAAAGTGATTGCCCACACCCATGGCCCAACCACAAGAGTCCATTGGCCCATTGGTACACATGGGTCATCCACCTGGCCTAGTCACTGTCCAGTCCTGGCCCAACTTCCCAAGACTTGAACACTAAGTCCAGATAATTTGAGATGATCCCCAGCTGACCCAGCTGAGTGAGCTAGTCCATCCAGCTCAGGGAGCTGACACACTCTACCTGAGCTCCAACTGAGCTTCGTCCAGCTGGTTGAGCTTCTTGCTCGCATCACCCAGCTGTGATATTCTTCCTACAGCTTGATATCTTCATATTATACAATCCTTTTAAATCCCTTGGTCTATCTCCCGACCTATACTTAATTTTCCCATGATCCATTCTGTTCATTTACTTCATCGAACTTGTTCACGATCAATTCTCATGATCTGAACCAAAGCAGTCTCGTTTCTATTGAATGTCTAAGACTTGTGTCAAGTTCCAGGAATGGGAACATGACGGTTCAGCTGGTGTGAGCTGAGCAGTGATTGTGCAGCTAGACCGAGCTGGGCTGAGCTTACCCAAGCTTCCCCGAGATAGGTCGAGCTGTCCCAACACCCCGTTGAGCTACCTCTTTACTCGTGTAGTTCCTTTAACTCCTTTTCCTTCTTTATCTGGCTAAGGCTCAGCGCCCTGATGACCTTAACCACGTTCCTAGACCATGGTATGCTTGCCTTTAGGTCTCGTGGCCTGACTGACGCGTCTCCTCGCACCATGGTCTGTCCAGACGATCATACTCAGGATCGGGGACATAACATAACCAATAAGATCCAACACAAGCATCTATATAATAAATAATTCTCTCTCGATCTCCTCCACAGACGCATCTTGAACATTGTAACCCTCTCTCAAATCTCAATTTCAATCTTTCTCTCAAATCGATAATGGCTCCCAAGGTGGCAGAGAAGAAACCAGCAGAGAAGAAGCCAGCAGAGAAAGCCCTGGCTGAGAAACGTCTAAAGGCGGAGAAGAAGATCTCAAAGGAAGGAGGAAGCGAGAAGAAGAAAAAGAAGTCGAAGAAGAGCATCGAGACATACAAGATCTACATCTTCAAGGTTCTGAAACAGGTTCATCCCGATATAGGAATATCAGGGAAAGCGATGGGGATCATGAACAGTTTCATCAACGACATCTTTGAGAAACTCTCTCAGGAATCGTCGAAGCTCGCTAGGTACAACAAGAAACCGACAATTACGTCTAGGGAGATCCAGACGGCGGTGAGGCTTGTGTTGCCAGGAGAGCTCGCGAAGCACGCTGTTTCTAAAAGGACGAAGGCTGTTACCAAATTCACAAGTAATTAGGGTTTTGTTTTCTATGTTTTTGGCATATTGTTCTTGGATAAATCGATCTGATCGGAACAATCTTTGATTGTTGAGATGTTTCAAATTTGAATGAACAGGTTTTCGTGTTAACGAGTATTACTTTCGTTGTCATGTGTTAAAGGGATTGAGAATCTAATACTGTAAAAAAATCATGCTACTCGTTTCTTTGGTTCCTTTCTTCATCAAAGAGTCGAAAGAAGATCATTAGCATTTAGTTTGATAAATACTGATATACTATAGTTACGGGATCTTATCTCAAGATATGCTCTGAATTTTTTTACGGGATGTTAATTATCTGTGGGAATCTTTGCAATAAAATAGAACAAGATCTTTAGTTTGTCACATAAGATACATAATATGCAATGGAGATCACATATGTTATGCAGAATACACCCGGAATCGTACTTAATAAACTGAGAGTTTGTGTGTGTTTATAAAGTCTCATGCATCATAAAGATATGGACTTTGCTTATTCAGGCTCTGCCTAACCTATACAAGGTGCTGCTAGTCGACATTCCTAGGTGCTCTGCCTTGGCCTTTAACTTTGGATTTTGTTGTGGTGCTTTGGTATACGAGGTTCATTGGTAGTCTTCCAATTTTGGATGTACATATAGATCTTTCAATGGTTGGAACTTAGCAATGTATTTTTTTTTGCTGGTGAAGTAAATAGTAGAGAAGTTTAACATACATAGAGGAATGTGGTTAGTATGCTTCCAGCCACTAAAAGCAGTCTGAGAGAAGCATAGCAATTATTCACACAGAAAAGATGAGCTGAGCACATCATCGTAATGATCCTTTCACCCTCGATTAGCAGGAGGAAGAGACCAAAGAGCATAAACAACTTGGAGTAGAATAGAAAGAGAGGACAAAAGGGATGCATCAATTATTTTCTGGATGTCTTAGTTTATCAATGTTGTTCATTATTCATAATTTGCAGATATTTGTATCATTTGTTAGTCACACTTTGATAATTTGATTAGTTAAATTGTCGAATGCATCTTTCAAACGAATCCGGTAAGCCCCTGCAACTTTATAATCGAACCGTGTTAGTAATTTAATGACAACTTTGAATAATGTTGGTCATTGATGTTTACTTTTTAAGGTTTGTCAAATGATAGACTAGCTATGACCAAATATGTTTAAGTTTAAACTATTTAGGCCCACACGTGTATAGTTATAATTCGTCATTAGAAAGGCGGCCACGTCTTTCGCCTTGGATATTTGTTTGTTGACCTTTCTTTTTCTTTTGTTTGCTATAAAAATGTAGTTCCATTCTCATCGTATCTTATCAGATTAGCTTTTACTTTGGATCTGATTAATATTTTCGATGGTCCGACTTTAGGGTGTCTCTCACTGATTGTGCCAAGCTTTGAGATCTCTGCAGTTTTCCAATTGGATTAGGTTTTTCTTTTTCGGGGTAGCTCTTCGGTGATAGGGGTTTCAAAGAGCATATAATAATGCGGCTGAGCTCCGAGCTACTCATTTCATTGGTTCCGTCGTTGACTTTATATCATTCTTCTAATCGTTTGAAACCTCTTGAAAACAGTGATTGGCGTGGTAATCTTAGTTGATCTTTCTCTCCTCCTTTCTCGTTTCATTTCTCTTTTTGTTTTTCCTCTCTTAGATCTCTTTACCCTTTTGCCCTACTCTCTGCCTTCACTCGGTTGTAAGTTAGAAAAAGCGTGTGATCTCTGTGATCTTAGAGATTTAGCAACTTATCGTTGTTTTTGGCGTTTCGGGTGACCGATTTACTACTCGCAGGTATTTTACCTCTTTCTATAGCTAAAATGTTCTTTGAGGTGTTAGATATTGTAGATTAGGTTTATCAGTGTGCCTTTCTTGTTTATGTTCTATGTTCTAAACATCTTTTTTTATTTGATTTTGTTTGTCTCAGTTACTGTTGGCTGCAATTTGGATATGAGCTCTGTATGTGGTGGGTTGAATTACAAAGATGCAGAGTCCCACAGCTCTGCTTCGTCTCCCAATAAATGTTGTAATAATGGCTCAAATCATGTCTATGTTACTGGTTCTGACGATGGGTAAGAGTCCGATGGCGATGATAGTGGTTATATACACCAATGTGTGAATCAAGACTCCACCAAACCCACCCCAGAGCCCTTACCTCTCAAGTCTTCGGATGATGATGTTGAAGGTGAAGGTGAAGACAAGAACCTTGCCACCTCTGAAAGTGTAAGTTACCACCCTTTTGTACTAGCGAAACGAGTTGCTATTTTTTTAACAATCGTTGTTTCTGTTCTATTGGCGTTGTCCTTACCCACACGTACATCATATCCTTGAAAGTTAAAAATTTCACGTATCTTAGGCTTCTAACATCTACAAAGAACCCTTTAGGCTTTACTGTTTATTGCATGAAAATGCGGAAGAGTTAGACTAGAATTCAACCTTGGCATAACTTATATGATTGGAGAATTCACAAAACCGAGTTTATGATCTGAGAATTCACATAGCCTATACCATTATCTGTAGCTTATGGTTCCTCTTTCCACATATTTTTGTAGTTGTTTGCAAATATAAGAAACAATGTAGTCTTAGTCCTAGATGCATAAAAACAAATGGTTAGTGAACAAAGAGTACCATTTCTTGGACTTTGTTTGGGTGATATCTATTAGTGATTGGATATAATCAGTTAACTTCCAGTTTTTCTGACTTAGGTTTCTTGTACTCCAACAACAGATGAGTGCTAAAACCATCATCCCAGCCATTAAAGGAAGCCGAGAGAAGAATGGCAAGCCTCTCGAGAAGCTGAGTGTGTCATGGGCTGAAGATGTTTACGATCCTCCACTCTCCCTTGTATCTCACACCAGGAGCAAGAAACAGCAACCTCAGAAATCAAAGAGCTTGAAGAATAATGGAAAGAAAGGGCAAAATGGAAGCAGCAATTCATCGTCGTCATCATCATTATCCCGTGGCAGCAAAGACAAGAAATATTCTTCTTCTTGCAGCAAACATAGTCGTGATAATAAGTTCGGATGGGACACACAAACGTCTATTGTAGCCGCATCTTCTTGAATTGTCTGTGGCATGACCCAAGGCATCGTTCGTCTTCCTTGCTCATTGTCTCCTCTCTCACTCGGTTTCACTCTTTTATATGTATAAATAAAAAAAAGCTGTGTGAAAAAACTTTCCTCGAGTTTCAAGAATTACCACTAGTTTTGTGAACCTTGTGATGTTGTCCGATTCAAGTTGAACAATTATCGTAATCATACTCATTTTTTTTGTAACACATCATAATCATTACCACTGTAATACTTATTGAGTTTATAGATATTGTCATGTGTGCACAGGTTTTAGTTTCATTTTGATTTAAAATACATCGATTAATATAAAAACAAATATGTTACAAGTGTTTTAACCGTTTGAGAAATTTTTGGTTTTCGTTTTCAGTTAAAAATGTATTAAATATTTTTTGATAAAATTTAAATATCATATAATGAAAAGAAGATTTTACATGAAGATCTTAGTTTTTAGCCATCCCGGAAAAAAAAAAATAAAAACAAGATGGATCATAAATACTACAACCAACGATGATGAACATTATCTCAGCCAAAGCGCCATGAGCGAATGAAATTGTCTCCTGTGTCTCCTAGCTGATATAATGTTCTTCATCTCTTTATCAATATTCCTTTGTTTCCACAGATGAAAGACAACGGTTTGAGAAGCCAGCTTCCGGAGGACAGTTAGCTTCTGCGACGATGGACATCTGATCCAAGAGACGAGCTCAGACCAGTTTGTGAGCATTGCTGATGGCGACTGACATTTATTAAGCACCTCCTTCCAAACATCTTGGCTATACTCGCAGGTCAACATGAGATAGTCTCTTGTTTCGTCGAATCTGGAGCAGAGAGCACAAGTAACAGAGATCTGCATTCCCCAACCTGTGAGCCTTGATCTTGTTGGCAGTCTGCCATGTGGTGGAAGACCTGAAAACAGAAATAGAAGAGTCACCAGCAACCCATTTATATAGATCATCAATATCAGGAGATAAGAGAAGAGAGATAGTAGTTAGGTGAGTATGAAAATCAACTTCCACTTGAGATCTCGGGTGTGGAAGTGACCAAGAAGAGTAAGATATAGCGTCTGCCACCACAACCTTCTTAGTAATTCGCAAGGCTCTAGGGCCAGTACACCCCATAAGAGAAAAGAGCTGGCCCAAAGGCGTCCAGACATTGAACCAAAAGCTTGTGGAGAGGCCGTACCCAATTTAATTCTGCTGAATTGAAGTGCTAGAGGTCTTAGGTCTAACAGCTTTTTCCATGCTCATGAGTCGTTCGTCGATGGCTCTATTATCCAAAAGAATTTATCGGATAAATGAGTGCTCCTATGCCAGTCAACCCATAACGAAGGAGATTTGGAGAGCAATAGCCAAATGAATTTGAGGCATAAGACTTTATTCCAAACAGAGAAGTTTCTAAGACCAAGTCCACCTTCTTCCTTTGGGAGATATACCGTAGCCCAAGCAATTTTTGCTATTCCTCTCTTTTTGTTATTACCAGACCATAAAAAACGAGAGCAGAGAGATTCGATAACCTTGATACATCCCTTAGGCAAAAGAAAATCCGAGAGCCAGAAGTTGAGTGTTCCAAATATAACAGCTTTGAGGAGTTGCAATCTGCTTGCGAAGGAAAGAAACTTTACTGACCAAGCCTGGAAGCTCTTAGTGATCTTGGCCATTAAAGGAGTATATTCTGAGATTTTCAGCTTACGACTCATGAGCAGAAGCCCGAGGTATATGATTGGGAACTTACCAGAAGTGAACCCATAAGCAACAATAGATGCAGATTCGCTTTGGTCTAAACCCGAGGTAAAGATCCCAGTTTTGGTCATGTTCATGTGCAATCCAGACCAAGAGGCGAAGTCATCCAGATATTCTGCAATACCATAGAGACTGTTACTAGAACCATCAAAGAAATACATGACATCGTCTGCAAACATAAGGTGAGATATCTTCAGCTGATCTGTTCAAGGGTGATAGGCAATGCTATCAAGCTCGAAGTGCAACATTAATAACCAAGACAAACATTCCATGGCTAACACAAAAACATAAGGAGACAACGGATCCCCTTGCTGGATCCCTTTAGTGCTTTAAAAAAAACTCTTGAGGCTCCGTTAACCGATACAGAGAACGAGGCTTTAGATAAGCATTCTGATATCAGGCGGATGTAATAATCTGGAACAGCCAGGGCCTTGAGTGAAGCGAGGATAAAGTCCCATCTAACAGAATCAAAAGCTTTCCGGAGATCCACTTTCAGCATTCCACGAGGAGAAAGAGCCTGCGTATTATAGCCATTAACAAGATCAGATGCTAATAGTACATTTTCAGCCAATAAGCACCCGGGAAGGAAAGCTGATTGGGATTTGGAAACCACAAGGGGCAGAATGTCCTTCAGCCTAGAAGCCAGAAGTTTTGATATCACTTTATAAACCATGTTGAGGCAGGAGATAGATCTGAAGTCCGTTGTCAGGGAAGCATTCGGCTTTTTGGGAATGAGGACCAGGTTAGTCGAATTCCACTGCTTAAGAAGACAGCCAGATTTAAAGAATTCCAAAATAGCCTCAGTAACTTCAGCACCAATAACAGACCAAGTTGCGGTGAAAAACTCCACTGAGTATCCATCTGGCTCACTGGTTTTATTTTTGGGGAGAAGAAAGCGTTCTTTATATCGTCAGCCGTGAAGGCTTTTTCAAAACCTGCTGCCTGCTCCTCCGAGCATTTGAAATCAAATAAAAGATCTAAGTCACTCTGGATGAACATCGGTTGAGAGACCGGACTGCCAAGAAGATTAGAGAAATAATTCACACATAGCTCTTGAATTCCAGTCTGAGACTCTATCCTTTCTCCAGATTCAGAGAAAAGAAAATGAATGTGATTGTACGCTTGCCTGGAAGCTGCATACCTATGAAACAGTCTAGTATTACCATCACCAAAAGAAATCCAATTTAACGACGATCTCTGGTAGAAGAATGCGGCTTCAGCAGTTGACAATTCTTCCCACTGTTGCGTAGCATGAAGCTCATTAGAGGCGTTTGACAAAAAAGGAGAAGAAAGCATGTCTGTTTGAGCCTGTAGTAACTTTTCGTGAGCTTGTGCAGTCTTTTTCTCGATTCAGAGTAGTTTTGCTTGCTGAGATCTCTGATAACATTCTTTAGTAATTTAAGCTTCCTTGATACTCTATACATTGCAGAGCCAGTGACGTTGAAGGAGAACCAACTACTACAAACTGTTGCGAGAAAATCCTCGTTCTTGATGAGGAAATTATAAAATTTGAAAGGCTTTTTAGTCTTATCCTCGCAGGGTCCAAGGTGATGACGATGACAGCATGATCTGAGAAGTCTGGACTGCCAAAAAAAGCAACAGAAGATGGAAACACATTGTACCATTCATCATTTTCTAAAGCTTTATCGAGCTTTTCTGCCAGCGGTTCAAGTTTGTGTTTGTTCCACCAAGTGAAGGTAGTGCCTCTTGGAGTCGAGTGGATGTGCAGGGAGTGTGATAACTTACAATGTGTTGATTGACGGGTTTTGCAAAGCCAACAAGATTAGAGAAGCAGAGATGGAAAGTACATGGGGGTTTCAAGGATCTCTCTGACACACAACACACTCATCGATGGGATTTGTAAAAGCAAGCTATCAGCTCATGGATCAGATGATAATTGAAGGACACTGAAAAGTTCACATACAATTCACTTCTAAAACATTTCTGCAGAGGAAGTGACATAAAGAAGCTATGGATATCGTGCAAGCCAAGGCCTCAAACGGATGTGAAGCATATATCTAATTTATGAAAACTATAATATAAAACAATACTTGCAAATAGTTTCTTACAAATTCTCATTTCTTAACCATTTTATTTATTGTTTTTTCTAAATAATTCAACAGTATTTATTATAGAAACACAAAACAAAAACTTATTTATTTAAGTATATTATATTACATGTCTACATTTCTTTTATCACTCTTATTAACTATTTTATTAATTCTCTTTACTTAATAATTCGGCAACATTTATTTTACATGTTAACCGTAGTAATTTGATATTTTTGAATGAAATATTTTCATTTGTGATTCAAAACTGTTAAGAAATAGTTTTTTTTTTAATTTGTTTTAAACAGTAACCCTTTGGACAAGGATCATATCTTTTGGGTATCAGATTTTTGGGTTTTGAAATAAGGTTTCGTTCGGGTAATGGGTTTCGAGTCAGATCCTCCAGTCCGTATGTGTTCAATTTTGATGTATATGAATCTAAAAATATGACAATAACTAATATATTTGAAACATGTTCTGATATTTGTACCAAAATAATCATATCCAATTCAGTTTGGATATTTTGTATTCAAAATAATCAAATAATCAAAAGTAACTATATTACTTGAATCGATTCATTGATGTATAGGAAACTAAAAATATTCAAATAATTAATATACAATTAGTTATAAAGTGACACATGAAAAATATATAACACAAATTATGAAAAATAAATATCAATTTTAAAAAAGAATAAAAACCATTATTATCTGTGGCATACAGGTCAATATCTAGTTTGGTTATGGAAGGGGTTTATGTAAAGTTTATGGATAAAGAAAGATTTATAACTATGTTTATAGTTCGAGAAAAGGTTCAATCTGGTGAGCCTGGTCCTAGTAGTTTGTCACTTACATCATTGTTTTCCTTGTCACTTGCATGTGAAGCCAAACCATACATCTTAGTGGTTTTCAGTAGCTTTTAATTGCATATGTAAACTAATATGTAAGCAAATCTTAGTACTATATAAATGCAACGAGATTACGAAAACGGTGTCTTAAAGATGCATAATCACATTTGAAAAGAAAAAAAAAGCATAATCACTGTTATTTATATGTAGAACGCTCTTTCTACAATTCTTACCACTTTAACCATTAAAGTAAAGTTCAAGTAGCTAACATCATACATTTGCATCTCCATCATTACTTAGAGAAGACTCATTAACAACTTTGGTAACTGTAATTTCCTCTACATGAACTTTGTTGTGTTGTTGAACCACAAGGATTGATGGGATGATGTGGTTATTCGAAGAGGCAAGCACGTCCCCAATAGGACCTAACTCTGGATGTTCGGCCTGACGTTCAGCTAACGCAGCCACCTCCACGGACGGTAACCTCCCTCTTCCAACCACTATAAGGTCAAAGTCTTGACTTTGTCCTATTGACAGTATATCTTCAATAATGTTGGTTGGTTCCTTTTCTTTGTATACCGCCATATCTTTCCATTTGTTCATGAAATCTTCTAATGCTCCTTCGTCTAATTCCTAAATTATTTGCCAAAAGAATAGATAAAACAGACTAATTAAGTCCAACTTCTTTGACTTAGAAAACAGATGTCAGAACCATAAGTGTAACGGGACACAAAAACTAAACTAAAATGAAATAGATAGTTGATCATCATATAGTGATTATATTACGATATAGTTGACGACTCGATCAGTCCTAAAAAAACTGGAGCTGTATCAAACCGATAAACATGTATCAAATTGAACCAAATGCTACTGTTTTTAAAAAAAAATATTTTTAAAATATTTATGAAATAATAAAACACCATAACTATAAAAAAAAAACAGAAATATACCTTTTCTTTTTCGGGATCTACGTTGGTTGTCAAGAAGGCATAATTCTTCTCCTTGCATTTAGACGGTGCCGGATGTAACGTGATGGTGTTACTCCTCAGCGTTTCACTCACCAAAAACCTCATAACGGTAACTTTAACGGCCGGATGCTCCGCCATCCTCCCGCCGAGCTCTAAAACCTCACGATCATCAGGCCCACCAAAGAAAATCACACAAACCCTTTCAACAACATTCGACCCATCAAGACTCGAACTCTGAGACTCAATAGACCCAAGCCCCCGGTCAACAAGAACCGCCACCGAACACGGCGCATTCTTCAATACCCTCTGGTTAACTAGTCTCCAACCATGACCAACGTTTTCCTCTACGTTTACATCTCCTCCGTCTTGGTGGTGGTTGTGTCCATGACCATAATCAACGTTCCATCTTCTATGAAAAGGTAAAATGATCATTGTGACCCTCTTGGTCTCTGCCATGAGGCAAATATCTTCGTGCATTGTAGGTAAAGGAGAAACTGCGGTAATAGGCCGGACCGCGACTCGTCCCAATTGGCGATAGGCTTGGAAGCCTCTTATAACGCTGCTGTGGCACTCGCCGTGACGGTAACGGTTGACGAAAGGAAAACCGTTTTTCTGGGCTCTTTGCACCATTATGATTGATGAAGATCGCTCTGTTAGTTCCATGAGGTGCATGGCAAACAGTTTTAGCTTCAATATCTGCCAAAATAAATATGATATTAACCAAGATTAGTACCCTCCCAAAAGAAAACTATATACCATGTGCATGTCAGGTCCGGAACATAGACAAAAGAGCAGCTCGCTTAGAGCATCACAATTTTACGCAACAATTTTAATTGTATAAAACATATTAATAATAATATATATGAAGAATCAGAGCAAAATTTTTTATTTAAAATATTATCAAAAAATTTAAAACGGGATCATGAGTATCTCTAATTACATGTATTAGAGATAAATATGCATAGATCCTCCGATTTTATCTTTGTACAACATCAAAGTTAATTTGATTTAGATTTTGAAATTGGTATAGTAAAGGAACTCAGTGTTGAATCACATATATAAGTCCTGCATCGAATATATCTTTAGGGTAACCAAATCCGAAATAAAACTCCTTGGATCCATGTTTCATGCATATCATCTAGAATCTCGGATATTTTGTGCAACTCTAAAGCAGTAGAACATATCCACTACATGCACTAGATCATGCATAGATTTGTATGTAGATTGTAAACATGAAGAGATATAAAAGAAAGGTAATTAATTAACCTTTGTGGTTCGGATGGACACGATGAGAGAAATGAGGGATGAGACATTAGCAGGACCATGGAGGCAGGCGAGTATGCGAAGCTCTTCCTTGGAGGAGTCTTCGCTCGCCGACAAATCCTTTAGTTTGCGGTGGATTCCACGTGCCGGTCTGTAAATGGCCATTGCACTCGGCGTCGTGATGAACGTGGTGAAGAGTGCCATTAGCACCAGTATCGCAAACGTCTCGTCGTTTAGCACCTAGTTAAACCAAACCCCACGCACGTACGGTTAATTAATAACCACATAATCATGTTAATGGGTAATCATTATCGTTCCATTTTGTCACTTTTTCTTTTCTTTTGTGGTGTAACTTGAAGAAGATAATATAATTTGTGGTGCCGAAAGTGGATATATGTGAGGTGATTGATTACGTAAACATTGACCCAATCGAAAAGGTGACTAATTAAGTAACATATGCCCGATCGAAAAGCTAATTTCATGCACACATGATTAGGTCTTAATTTGACTTCATATTACTAATTAATCACCCACTAAATGAGAAACAAACAACCAATGGTATTACTCGGCTGTGGTTCTGTGGTTCCGTGGATTTATCAACTTAATAATTCAAGAGATCAGACTAGCTACTCTAGTTCAAAAAGAAAATGTTGAAACGGTTATGATATATATATATATATGTTGTTCAAAAAAAAATAAAAAATTGATATATATATATATATATATATATTATAAATACTTTTCGTCATTATTCCTTTCCATAAGGGGCGGCTTTTGAAGCATACAGCTGATCAGAGCAGATGAAAATGAATAAAAAGTAACATAGAACAATATACTAGAATGACATTTTGTGGAATAAAATATTTGAAATGGATCACTCCATAAGATTCCATAAAATAGTTACCAATTATTATGAAAGTTTTGTAAACACAGATCCATGTATTCCATTCTTAGAATAAAACAAAAAAACAAAAAAACTTTTGTAAAAGCTATTCCTTTTTTTCATGATCCTAAATCCTCGTGAATAGATGTAATGTGTGGAATCTCTATTCCATATTTAGAGCATGTGCAACCTGGGTTCTTATAGGGTTCTTAATGGGTGTGCATCCCGCAAAAAAACTAAAATCCATCTCTTACACTTCTTATGCAAGAGCTAACTCTTACAAAATTTTTGTATTGTTTATGGACCCTACTGACATATTACGGCTCGTAATTGATTAGTTTTTTTTTTAAATAGATAAAATAAAATAAAATAAAAGTAAGAACCCTTTGAGGGTTTTTAGGGTTGCGCATGCTCTTATAATTTCAGTTTTTTCTTCTATTTTCTACATCATTCCATTTTTTACCAATTCCACATTTAATAAAAATATATATGATGAACGTAATTTTAAACTACAGATTTATCTTTCTTTACGAATGAAAATGATATACACCCTGATCACATTAAAAACTGTAACCAGTTTGGATTTAAAATCCCGAACGACCCACGACAAACCAACCAACCAACCAGCAAGATAGAGGTTGCCTATCAGACATGGAATCTGATAACCTAAATTAACACATCTACACAGTTAAAATAAGTGTGTAGACATGAATAAGTCAATAATCAATATACAGTACTATGTTTTGTTTTATATGCAGATATCATGTCCCCATAAAAAAACATGATCGTATAACTATAATAGTTAACGATGACTCGAGGACCCATTTGTCCAAATGATGTTACTAGGTCATAATATTCAAAAAAAAAAATGTTACTAGGTCATAGTTTCATAGTTCTCATAATATTATTTAACTAAGAGAAAAACAAGAACCTTAAAAGTTCAAAAGAAACTACTTATAAGAATATTTGAATATTAGGGCAAAGAATATCGAACCTTTTTCTCCTTGCCTATATTGAGTACAATAAGCTCCACCAAACCTTTCGTGTTCATCAAGAAACCTAAAGTCAAAGCCTCTCTTGCCGGAACTTTAACCATCACCGCCACAACAAAAGTTCCGACGATTTTTCCTACGCAAGCCGTAACCACGACAAGCCCCAACATCCCCCACGACACAGCTCCATTGATCTTCGCCACGTCAGTTTTCAATCCACTCGTCGCGAAATAAAGCGGTAAGAGTAAACCGGACACAAAATCCTCAATCCGTTCAATCAACCTCTGACCAAACTCTCCATCTTTCGGTATAGTCAAACCGAAAACAAACGCCCCGAAAATCGAGTGAATCCCTATCAAATCTGTCGCTAAACCGGAAACCATAACCCCAGCTAACGTCAAACACACGTAAGACTCCCTTACGGCGCCGTTTTCGGGAGATCCGCGTTTAACGATCCATTTCATCCCGGGTCGGATCACAACCAACATAAAAACAACAAACCCTACACCAGACAACAAAACCCACAGCGACACCAACGGACTCTTCTTCTCCCCACCGCTCTCCCCGCCGTTTCCCGCCAACGCAACCGCTAAAGCGAGCAAAATCCACGCGGCTACGTCGTTGAAAGCGGCTGCAGCCATCGCGGTTTCTCCAATCTGCGTCGTGAGAAGCTTGAGCTCTGCTAAGATACGCGCGAGCACAGGGAAAGCTGTGATGGAGAGAGCGACTCCCATGAAAACGATAAACTCAACGAATCCAGGTCTATCGGCGGCGGTGTAGAGAGTGTTGCGGATCACGAAGGAGACGCCTACGCCGGCGAGAAACGGGAGTGTGATTCCGGCGGCTGCGATTCCGAAAGCACGTTTTCCGCTTCGACGTATGGATGATAAGTCGAGCTCGAGACCGACGAGGAAGAGGAAGAAGAGGAGGCCTATGCTCGCGACCGACTCGAGTATCGGCATGCTCCAGTCCGGGAATATACGGTCCATATACGCCGGGTCTCTACCTAAAGCAGATGGTCCTAGCAAGATTCCTCCCTTCAAAAACATTAATAGTGCAAGAAGATGTTGGTAAATACAAGGATGGCAAAGATTTAATAAAAATGGAGAACCGGGATCTAGACTTAAGTAATTTATAAACATTTTAAGGTTAATTTCAATAACTTTTTTTTTGAAAATTTGGAGGTCATAAGCATATGTATAATAGTTCTTTGAAATTTAGAGATCAAAGTAGGTAACTTATAAACATTTTAGGATAATCTTACTATTTTTTTTGAGAATTTGAATGTCATAGACATATGTATAATAGTTCTTTGAAATTTAGAGATCAAAGTAAGTAATTTATAAACATTTTAAGGTTAATCTTAATAAAATTTTTTGACAATTTGGAGATCAGAGACATATGTATAATAGTTCTTTAAAATTTAGAGATCAAAGTGAATATTTCATCTGGTTGTGCCCAAAACCAACCCTAGCTAGAATGGTGACATGATAGTGTGTGTTAGAGTGTAACTTTTACGTACGACAATCTCGGCGATGACTTTTGGTTGGCGAAGGGGCTTGAAGAGAACGGCGAGGGAGCGACTGACGGCGACGATTAGCGCCGTTTGGACGATGAGTAATGGAAAGGCGAAGTTCAAGGGGTTGTCGCCTTGCCATGCACCGTTAGAGGAAGTTTTCACGGAGGTTATGTTAAAGGCCATATGTATTCAGAAAGGCTATATCTGGAACATGTGATATAAGTTATAAAGTGACAAGGTTTCGTGACGAAATTTATAGGCAAGCGATTATTTAAAAAAAAAATTTATTTGAAGATTCAAATAGGTAATAATGATGTTGTTGCTTGTAAGCTGGGTGCGTCTATCTGCATCTCACTTGTGACTTTGAATTATTCAGGTGTACAGTAACGTATAAACAGTATGTATGTACTCATCCAACATACTGTGGTTTATATAATTCAGTTCCTCTTATTTATTTCTTTTTTGTATAGTGACTTTCATGTGTTTATTTTAGTCGGCAAGTAATATAAATGACGACAACTCGACTAAATTATCAGCGAAGTGGGAATCATTTGAGTTGCACTGCACGTGGGACGTGAGACATCGGCGTTGACATATGCTACGTCGGCGTGGATGGGTTTTAGCAAGTGTAACCAGGTGCTTCTCATATTTTTCCATCTTTTTAAATATAATTTTGGCATGACTTTCATTAGACAAGCCGTTGATTTTGCCAAGAATTGGCATCTCTATATGCTGTGTATTTACGAATTTCCTAACTTAATTAGTATGTGATTAGAAAGATATGATTTTCAATTGATAGTCAAGTTTGAAATAAGTATAGTTGTGCTAGAGTTTAGAATCCAAATGTAGAGCTTCACCAGTCTGAAATTAAGGTTGCAAAACCAGTTTTGAACATGTAGAAAGAAAATGATGTTAAAGTAGTGGACTGCCTCAAAGATGCGATAAACTAACTAATCACACTTTAGTTCAACCCATTTTCATCTTTTAACTTATTTATGTTTGTCAAGAAGTAGACCCCTTTCCCCACTCGCCTACACCAAAATTATCGGATAATATACCGTATAAGTCGGTAATGACATTAGTAAAACCTCGTTTTTGAAAGATAAACATTAGTACAACTTTAGACATTTATCCCCATTCGAATTATTTTATTCATATATGATATAAGTTGATTGATATTACAATCTAATGTGCAAACACGACTAAAGTGTTGAGTGAAGATTTTTGTTTTTGACTTTTGTATATCATACTTTCATCAAATTTTTTGTAATATCAGTTATAGTGCTATTATATAAGCAAATTAAATACCTTCAAGTTTAACTTATTCTTTCAAGTAACGGAATATATATGACTACAGGTTTTCTTTCGTTTTTTTTGGTCGACACTACAGGTTTTCTTTCTATGACTTCAAAACTCGGAAGAAGATTTATACAGTATAAAATAAAAAAGAATATACGTGCAGTGACTATCAATTTTATACTTGAACTTCGCAATAGATAGTGGCCACATCTTTGAGAATGTAAACACCCGTAAATTACTTTCTTAAGACAAATGTTTTACTTATAAAAAAGTCTCAAAAATCAGATAATAGTGGGAAAATTCACGAGAATACTGATTACAAATAAATAAATAATAAAATAAAAAGTCCATTTCTATGAAATAGATTTGGACTTTTCATGAGGGAAAGCCAAAAGTGCCAAAAAGTGATCTTCCTAATTCGAGGAACAACTAGTTCAAACTTCAAAACATAGTAAAGAGTGTGAATGTTTTGAGTTTAGAACAAATTTAGAGATTAAAAGTGTCTTACTCTTTTTTTATCAAAAAAAAAGTGTTTTACTCTTAGTTACTCTATTTTTTTCACTCATCACATGAAAAAAGTCAAGAATAATAATTACAATGGTCCTCCATATTTCTAGGATCAAGACATAGCAAGTATAAGTTATTAAGTTTGGTGTCACTATCTTTCTTCTATCTTCTTTTTTCTTATGCGTCAAAGAAATTTTTGTTGGTTTACAAAAGATTAAAAATAAAGTCAAGTCAAATTTTTCAACACAAGTCCAATATCATTGAGTCCTATCAAATATCTAAAATCGGACATATCTAAAACTAGTGTGCATTTGAACACCAGTGTTTTGCAAAAGTAAAAGTTTTAAAATTCGCATCTGACTTTCATTTTGTGTCATGGTTTCACTTGAACAATAATTTGTGTGTTTCGCCTAGTATTTATTTATGTTACCTTTTTTCGTTGACACTCGCATTTTCGTTTAATGTACGTGTTTGCATATTGCGTTCCAATACGTTTTCGTATTCGTATTTGTGCTTGCATATAGCTGTTGTTGTTCACGCTCATATTTGCATTTAACCATAAGTTTTAATTTGTTCTGTTCATGTTTGCCTCTTTGCATATGTATATATTTGCATCTATAGTAATAGCATTGGTATTCCTTTCCGCAAGTAGCATTTATAGTTATCTTTCACATGAGGAGTTCATGTTTGTAATTTACATTTAACGTCAACGTCTATGTTTATACTTTATATTTGGATTTAGTTAGCGTTCGTGTTGTTTGCGTTTACATCTAAATTTTACGATTGTTCCCTCGTCAACACTGTAAAATTAGATACTGGACTAAGGCACTAAGCAGTAACGCCGAAACAATAACTAATAGATTTGTAGGGTTTTACGATTCACGATTCTACATGTCGTAATAAAATTGAAGATATGAGTTTTACATCAATTATACTTGCAATTAGTTAAAAAAAAAGTTATCTGACTGTTCGTGCCATCGAAACATTTCTTGAATGAGAATGAAATGCCCCTACTAATTTTAGAAAGACAGCTACTTCGACATTAACGGGGCAGACGTACAACCACTGAATGAAATTGTCTATGAAACATCGTTTTATATCCCCTTTATAATTGGAATCTTATTTCTAGGTACAGTGATTCTTGCAACAAAAACATTTTGCTCCACTGCTTTTTGGCTTTATTGATTCATGGACGGGAAAATCAGAAATGTCGATTTACAAAAAAAAAAGCAAGTTTCAGTGGCCACAGTGTAAGTACAGGGAACAGTCTTAGGCAGAGGGTCCATAACTTATTAGTAAATTTGACTTCAGTATTTGAATAATTGAGAAATTCATGATACCATATCCGATCGTGGCATTGATGATTTTATATAGTAAAAGTAGCATAAAAAATAGGTTGAATTGCTGGAAAAGAAAGAAGCATAAAAACGGTATGTATACAAGTTGTTTTCTCAAGCAGCGAGCGATAGGAGGGTGCAGTCAGATCCATAATGTTGGGGCGTGACTATTAGAGGATAACTATCGATTAGTATAGTCTAGATATTATCCTAAGTATATTCTACGTATATACCGCAACTGATTGTAACTGATTGTACTATATATTGAGCTATCAATAAACGTAATCATTCAAGGGAAACATACATTCTCACAAGCTTTAGAGCACGACATCCTTATAGTAACTTTGTTATCCCAAAAGGCTTACCGTAACATTCTATGTTGTTTTAGGTAGTTTATTATGTTGGGCGACCATACATCCATATGATGTACGCACATCAAAGTATGCTTAACCACAGTCCTCAAGTCTCTTACTAGAATGATGAGTTGATAACCTAGAAAAGCTCGTGTATCCACATGAACGTTTATCTTTCATTTTCTCTTATTTCCATGTAACACTTTTTCAGTTTTTTTTGCTTATGTTGAAAGGTACTTTCTTAATTTTCAGCATCTCAATAAATTAACTCATTTGAAGGTGAAACAAAATTAAATGGTGAAAAATGGATAAAAGTTTCAAAGCATAATAGCAATCACCAGTCATGGACAAACTTTTCCTCAAATCCAAAACACTAATAAAACACACAATACGAGTGGTTTCTCTTTCTGAGCTCATTTCTTCTTCTCGGTTGCACCACCACCACCACCACCAGACCTACAGTTATTACAACAACAGAAACATTGTTTTAGTTAATAAGCACAAAAGCAACGATAAGCTTGTTTTATTCTTTTTTACTTAAACTGAGATTAGTGTCGGAATGAAATAGTTTGCCTATTAATTAACTCTACAACTTATGCTTTATTTCTCCAAGCCAGAGACAAATCAAGAAGAGCTAATGCAAAATGGGGTTAAGGGATTTACCTCATCTTACGGAGAACACTGGACATCTCCTCTCTCTTCCTCTTGGCTCTCTTGTGGGTACCCAACTTCCTCTTAGCCACCTTAAGAGCACGTTTGTCTTTACCAACCTTAAGCAGCTCCGTGATTCTCTTCTCGTAAGGAGCAAAACCAGCAACTTCCCTGATCAAGGATCTGATAAAGAGTGTCCTCTTGCTCGTTTGCTGCGTCCATGAAAAAACATGTTAACAGAATCAGATCCATAACAAAATAAAGCAAGAAGAAGGAAAAAAAGCACAATTAAAAAATGCTGCAACACTATTGCAAGATAAATAAGAACCAGGCATTCCGACAATCACAAGGAAAATACTTGAAGGCATTGCTAAATCAAATGGGTTTTGTCGTTAAAACATCTAGTGAACTTAGAACATTAACAAGAGAACAACCAAGACAATGAACATAAGTCAAGCCTACAATATCACAAATCTCTACAACTTTAATGAGGCCACCAGATCATGAACCAAGCAACATAATCATAAACTATGTTCCAGGCACTATCTAAACAAACTATCACCAACAGTAATCGAAATAAATATATATAAAAAAATAGGTAAGAGAGAAACATACTCCTTTGCGAGCGCGAGGACGAGGAGCCAACTCGCGTCTGGTGACAACATGACCTTTGTTCAACCCCACGAACAAACCAGTCTTTACTTGCGGTGTTGCCATCTTCTCCTTCAAATGTTACAACCTTTGTTTTTGGATCGAGCTCCTCGAGGAAAGAAGAAGGACGACGACAGAATAAAGAAAACTCTGATATATACGGACGGCTAAAGTAAAACCCTAAATTCTTTCACAGTTATTTTGGGCCTAACATGTCGGGTTCAGTTTGGCCCATTTATTACAATAAAAATGATTTTAAAACAAAGGGCAAACACGTCTTTTACTTTAACTGAACCGGAAAACAAGGCGAGGCCCCTTTGATCCGTTTTTATATTTTACGTTTGCCATTCGTTTTTTTGGTTGTCTTCCTCATTTCACATTGATCTCTATTGTTTCTCCAGAGATTCATCCTACCTCAGAGAAATAGGTTTTCATTTTCTTCTTTACTTCTTTGTTTCCGGTGAAATCAAGATTATGGATTGAGTTATTACTGATTTGGATTTTCGATTGACAATTGATTTTCTGGATTTGAGGTTTCGTTCATTATATTCGTGGCTTGAACGAGTGAACCTAAAAGATCCCATTTTGATTCATACTCTTATCTGTTTTTTTTTGGTTCTAAAATTCAACCAATTTTTCCGAGCGTGTGATAGTTATATTGTTTTTTTATTCAACTGTGTTTCTCTGGTTGAATGTTATTTAATATTTTATAAAATCGAACTGTGATTCTTGAATCTCTGTCACATTCCTTTTAGTTTTTGTTTATGTCGTTTTCGGATATTATATTTTCTTGACTCGTTGAAAAAATATATTCTGTTTTTTTTATTTTGCTTTGGTTATTTTAATGTTATTGCTTTAGATATATTTATTTATTCCAACTGAATCTTAGCTTATCAGAAAAAGAACATTGTGTTTTAATGTTTGTTTGTTTGTTTTGTAGAAAGTAGAAAATGGCTGACGGTGAGGACATTCAACCCCTTGTCTGTGACAATGGTACTGGTATGGTTAAGGTAAATGCTACAGTTATCAATCTTTAATCTGTAACATATTTACTGAATTGATCTAAAGAATGAATCTTTTGTTGATCATCACTCTGTTTCATGCATCTATTTACCATCTCTAAGTTTGTTTTTATTGTTCTTTGTGTGCTTCTTAGGCTGGTTTTGCTGGAGATGATGCACCGAGAGCTGTGTTCCCAAGTATCGTAGGCCGTCCTCGTCACACCGGAGTCATGGTGGGGATGGGACAGAAGGATGCATACGTTGGTGATGAAGCTCAGTCCAAGCGTGGTATTCTAACCCTCAAGTACCCTATTGAGCACGGTATTGTCAACAACTGGGATGACATGGAGAAAATCTGGCATCACACTTTCTACAATGAGCTCCGTGTTGCTCCTGAGGAACATCCCATTCTCCTCACTGAAGCTCCTCTCAACCCTAAAGCTAACCGTGAGAAGATGACTCAAATCATGTTTGAAACTTTCAACGCTCCGGCTATGTATGTAGCCATTCAAGCTGTTCTGTCACTTTACGCTAGTGGTCGTACTACTGGTAACACCACAATCCTATAGTCTTTGTTCTACTCTGCAGATTCAAGACATGAATATACTGTTGATCTTTGGTTGGTAGGTATTGTGCTTGACTCTGGAGATGGTGTGAGTCACACGGTTCCTATCTATGAGGGTTACGCTCTTCCCCATGCTATCCTACGTCTCGACCTTGCAGGTCGTGACCTCACAGATGCTCTGATGAAGATCCTCACTGAGCGTGGCTACTCCTTCACCACAACAGCTGAGCGTGAAATTGTCAGAGACATTAAGGAGAAGCTCTGCTACATTGCTCTGGACTATGAGCAGGAGCTTGAGACGTCTAAAACCAGCTCTTCTGTGGAGAAGAACTATGAGTTACCCGATGGACAAGTGATCACCATTGGATCTGAGAGGTTCCGTTGCCCAGAGGTTCTTTACCAGCCATCTATGATTGGTATGGAAAATGCTGGTATCCATGAAACCACATACAACTCCATAATGAAATGTGATGTTGACATCAGAAAGGATTTGTATGGTAACATTGTGCTAAGTGGTGGAACCACTATGTTCCCTGGGATTGCGGATAGGATGAGCAAAGAGATCACTGCTTTGGCACCGAGCAGCATGAAGATCAAAGTTGTTGCACCGCCAGAGAGAAAATACTCTGTCTGGATTGGAGGATCTATCTTGGCCTCTCTCAGTACCTTCCAGCAGGTAACTACTAATCCTATCAATCAACTAAGATAATTCCTAGTCATTTCTGATTGGTCTAATCTGTTCTTGATTTTTGTAGATGTGGATTGCAAAGGCTGAGTATGATGAGTCAGGCCCGTCTATTGTTCACAGGAAATGCTTTTGAGTTTGAAGTTAACTCTGCTTCCGGGGAATCCCTGTGGGGTTTTATCTTGGTTCTCTCCTGTTCTTCAATATTCTTTTTCAGATTCTGGCCTATGACAATTTTAAAGTACTTACAATGTCTCTTTATAGTATGGTTCCCTTTTTTTGTTCTTTTGTTGGATAACACAATTGTGTGAATGAATAAGAACACATAGTTTTCCGAATCTTTCAGGATAGTACTCAAATTTGAGTAGTGTTCATATACAATCAGCTTAACCAGTAGACTTTATTCACATCATTAAGCATTCAAATAGTCAAAAGGAACCAGACGTAAAGTCGTCTCCTACATATTTTCATAGTATCACATCTCTAAAGCTTAAAGGAAAGAAAAACAGGCAGTTTATGTCCTTGAGTTTAAAAGGAAAGGCGTTTGAGTACAAACTATGTCCACTTATGATACATACTTCCCTTTGATGGTGTCATTTGATCGTGATTTTATGATCAACCACAATCTATCACCACGTTGTCATAGCTGCTGCGAAACATCAAGCCCATTTCTGAAGAAGTTAAACAAGGATCTCCGACCACAACTGTCGGACATTTACATTGGAAGAGCTGGGCGTTGCCACAACATTTAACAAGCCCCTTGTCTGTTGCCTAAGTGGTAAACAGAGTCGGTAAGAAGCTTTGCTAGTTGTATGTTCAGTGGTAAATATAACATCGAAGCCGTCTTAGCTCAGTGGTAGAGCGCGTGACTTTTAATCCCGTGGCCGTGGGTTCGATCCCCACAGACGGCGATTGTATTTTTTTTTCCTTTAATTTATCCATTTCATGGTAATATAGGCGGTAATGAATGTATTCTCTCTGTTTTGCATATTCGCACCACGCTTTTTGTGTTCTGCAGATGATGGTCAATTGCTATAATGGGAATGGAACAAATACTGACAAGTAAGAGGTTGTTATTCTATTGGTTCTTCGGGTTGGTTTGCTAAGTGGTTGCGTCTCCTCAATGCATACCATGGATCCCTCTTGCTACTCGACAACTGGGTCTAGGGGACACAGATTGACAGGAACATAACATTCCTACAGAAGTAAACTTCGATAGGTGCAGACCGAGAAAAGTAGCGCGTGGATGGGTAGACTACGTTACTACTAGCTGATCCACCCACTTGAGCTTTCCCAAAACCAATCACCAGAACCTTTGCACACATTTTCTGTTGTGAAAAAGATGCTTAGGTTTGACAAAAGCTGTACATACAAATATTTTTTGCTGTATGTGTTAATCCTTCCAAGTCTTCATTTATTTATTTAAAGGGACAGAGCTTTAACTCTTCATTGTGGTACATACTGAATTTGCAGAACATAACATGTGACTTACACGTCAATACTTCCCTGCTCAATGCATATCACGTTGATAAGTATTGTGTATCTAATAAGGTGTTGTGGAGTTAGAAGCCAGAGAGACATGTGTAAATTCAAGAAACATTGATAGATTTTGATTTGAAGCAAAACGTTATATGTCGTCAAAAGCTATAAGAAGTTGTCGACGTAACCTAAGCAGAGGCTAAGATCCAAAATGTGACATGAGAAGAAACAGCAATTTGAAACCAAGAGACAAAAGCCAGCGCTACAGCTACTTGATACCTAAGACATGAAAACTGGTCACGAATATCACAATACTTCAGGTCTTTAGCAAATAAGACTACAACACCCGCTGATGAACACGCAGCTGCAAGAGATAACATTGCAGTCACCTGATTTCAACAAATCAAAACAAGTCATTACAAGAAGCAAAAAGCTCAAATCAATACAGAACACTGAACAGGTAAAGAAACAGTACCCAATCACCAACGACGAATAAGCTAACCAACACTGGGTTTTGAAGATCTTTCTTTCCCCTCAGCGCATAAACATCAAGACATGCGAGTCCAAAGCTCCACAGCAATTGAAGACCCATTGAAGCAATCAAGTAGCTGAAACCAAACCCAAAAAGATTGAAATCCCGACATCTAAGCGAGGTTAAGACAAGAACCAAAAATCAATAAAACCATTACCAGAAAGCAGTGCGGTTATAGAACTCCGTAGAAGAGAGCATAACGCCGATGGAAGCAGCAGCAGAAGCACATTGTCCGATTCTCAGTAACAGACCACACACTGTTCCTGGTCCTCCGAATATCTTCTTCATCTCCAATGTAAAAACTTGAACCCACAAAACTCCGATTAAATCAGGGAGGAACAAGTAATGGAGAAACCCTAGCTTTTTTAATTTTCGGAATTAAAAAGCTACATTTACTTCATGAGAGGAGTTTTGGCGGGGGAATAGGAAATGCAGATGAACTCTATAGGAGTTTCCGAAAATGATCTTAACTTCGGTTATAGCTAAGCTTTCTTCGGATTTCTCCTTTCACATATCCACTTTAAGATGGTGAGCGAGTTGACTCAGTGGTAGCATCTGACGTGGCGTAATCAATAGGGTTGATTTTTTTTTTTTTTGGCAACATATTTCTTTTCATTATCAAAAGGACCAAGTTATTACATAGTCCTGATTTTTAGTTCTTGCTTCCTTAGCTAAAACATCTACATCAGCTAAAAAAGATCTTGACAGAAAGTGAAAGGTATAACTACAAGATCGTGACATATTGTAGATGTCTCGTATCATAGAAGAAGCCTCCGTGATACGCATACTGGTGATGGTTTCTTCAGTATAGTACTGATTTAACTCATCAATTAGTAGCTTACAGTCACAAATAAAGGTCACATTATCATACCGTAAGCTTTTGATTTGTCGGACTGCCATTAACAAAGCCATTGCCTCTGCTTCCAGAGATGTGTTTGTTGCCTTGATTGAAGAGGAACCCCTAAGCTTTTGGATGCCTTCTTTACTATGTAAGGACCATCCTATACCTGCTACCTCTTTGTCACTCTTCCAGGAAGCATCAACTAGACAATATAAGCTTGTTAAAGTCGGGAGTACCTCATGTATGTTTTCAGTTTGATTCCTTTGTGTTCGGGTACTCTGCTCTTGAGGATTTTCATTGTCCATTGCTTCATTCCAGCTTTGATTCTCTCTTATTGCTGCATGTATAACCTTCAGTATATGATCTCTTTTATGTTGGAATAAGATATTATTTCTCATTTTCCATATATTCCATCCTGCGAAGAAATTCAGAAGTTCTCTCTTATCCTGCTTAGCACATCCCAGCAAACAATTAATATTCATAATCAAATTATCTGAGGAATTGGTAGACACATGAAAACGAGTAGGAATCATCTCCCAAATTTCTTTGGCAACTCTGCATTCAAACATCATATGGTTAAGTGTTTCAATGCTCTCTCTCCACATGTTTGGCAGGTACTTTCTATTGCTATTCCTCTCTTTTTCATATTATCCATCACAGCTAGACTATCATGAGCTACTCTCCACCAGAATGTTTTTAATTTTGGAGGAATTTTTAGTTTCCATATGTCTGAGCAACATCTTTTAACTTCCTCCAAAATCTTTCCTTGATTTAAATGAGAATCTTGATCCTCCATCTCACATTGTAAATGATACCCTGTCTTAACACTATAATATCCATCTTTAGCATATGACCAGACAAGGGTATCAGGATTACCTGTTTGGCTTGGTCGAATGTTTAAAACATAGTTGGCATCAACATCAGAAAGGAGGCTTCTAACCAATTGGGTGTTCCACGCGTGATCTCCTTCTTCAAGCAGATCACTGACTCTGAGGTGAGGATAACTAACTGAACCAGGTCCAGAAGCAGGAGATGATGGTTTGATTTTAATCCAATTATCCTCCCACACTAGAATGTCTTTCCCATCACCTACGATCCATTTGCTTCTTTGTTTTAGTAACTTCTGACTTTGTATGATACTACGCCATCCATAGCTTGATGTAGTGTAGCTTTTAGCTTGCAAGAAATTTGAATGACGATAGTATTTAGCTTTGAAAACTCTAACCAGAAGAGATTGAGGATGCTTCATCAGTCTCCATCCCTGTTTAGCTAGCAGGGCTATATTAAAATTCTCCAGATCTCTTATCCCTAAACCCCCATCTTTTTTAGATTTAGTAATTTTATTCCATCCTATCCAAGGGATCTTATGCTTGTCTTTGATAGAAGTCCACCAAAAGTTCCTCATATAAGAAGTAATTTCTTTGAGTAAACTTTTTGGCAATAAAAAACAAGACATTGCATAAGTGGGAAGAGCCGTAACAACCGCTTTCAAGAGTACCTCTTTCCCTGATTGGGACAGAAACCTATTATACCAACTATCTAGTTTATTTTGTATCCTTTGTTTCAAATACTCAAAAGCTTCTTTTCTTTTACGACCTATGCGTTCAGGTAATCCTAAATATCTTCCAAAACCTCCTATTTTATTGATTCCCATTACTTCTTTTAGTTGTTTCTGGTCAGTGGAAGAAATACCTTTGGAGAAAGTGATGGTTGATTTGGTATAATTTACCTCCTGTCCTGATGCTTTTTGGTAGAGGTTCAATATTTCCTTCAGTTTCCTACACTCCTCCATGGTTGCTCTACAGAAAACAAGAGAGTCATCAGCAAAAAATAAATGAGATATTGCTGGACCCCCTCGAGAGGCTTTATACCCATGAAGTTTTTGCTGATTAATGGCTCTTTTTATAAGTTGAGATAATCCTTTTGTACATATGATGTAGAGATAAGGTGATATGGGATCTCCTTGGCGTATTCCACGCTGAGGTCTAATTATATCAGTAGGCTCACCATTGATGAGAATGGAATATGATACAGTCGATAAGCATTTATAAATCCATTGACACCAAGTATCACAAAATCCCATTCTTCTCATAATCTGATCTATAAATTTCCATTCAACCTTATCGAAAGCTTTAGAGATATCTAACTTAAGAGCCATATATTTAGTTTTAAGATTCTTAGTATGTAAAGAATGCATCAACTCATGGGCAATGAGCACATTATCTGTGATCAGCCTTCCGGGGATAAATGCTGATTGGTTTTCAGATATGGCTCGGTGAAGATAAGGTTTCAGTCTCTCAGCTAAGATCTTAGAAATAATTTTGTAAGCAACATTAGAGAGACGTATAGGTCTATAATCCCTAATAGTAGAGGGAGAATATATTTTAGGGATGAGGCAAACATGTGTTTGATTTATCTTAGGGTCAAGGTGATTCTGTTCAAAAAAAGTTTTAACATGAGAGAACACACCTTGTTTAATGGTTTCCCAGTGATGCCTATAAAACCCTGAATTCATGCCATCAGGTCCTGGTGATTTATCCGGGTTTATTGAAAAGGCAGCAGCTTCTATCTCCTTCTCTGTGACTTGTGCAGTTAATTTTGCATTTATATCCTCAGATATGGTCACAGGAATACCTCGCAAAAGATCTTCATCAATAACACACCCTTCACTAGTATATAAGCTCTTAAAGTAGCGCATAATTTCTTTTCTAATATCATTTGGCTTCGTCTTGGTATCTCCATGATCATCTTTTAAATGAATGATCCTATTCTTACTTCGTCTTTGCTTGGTTTTAGAGTGAAAAAATTTGTTGTTTCTATCTCCTGCCTTGAGCCATTGAACACGACTTTTCGTTCTCCAATATTCCTCCTCCATCCTATATTGCAAGCCGAGTTCTGCTTTGAGGATATTTAGGGCAGCATAGTCTATTGGGAGAATTTGATACACTTGTTGAATCTGCTCCTTGAGTTGATTGATTCTCTTTGCTGTATTGGTTTGATTTTTACTTCTCCATCTCGACAAAGCCCTTCTGCATTTCTCAATAATCCTATGAAATTCCTTAGGAGAGATATTAGAACATTCGTTAGCCCAAACATCTTTAATAATTCTCTTAACTTCAGGCTCAAACCTCCATCTGTTATCATATCTAAAAAGACTATGCTTGTTTGTTCTAATATCTTCAGTACCTACTAGCAAGGGTCTATGGTCTGATCCTATCCAGGGTAATAGCTTAACATGAGCAGTTGGATACATATCAAGCCAATCACAATTCGCCATTGCTCGATCAATACGCGACTTGATATGATAATGAGCTCTATTTCCTACCCATGTAAAGTATCCTCCTATAGATTTTAAATCATGCAATCCTGAGATAGAGATCATTGACCTGAATAAAGAGAAAGAAGCTTCTGATCGAATAATGCCCCCTTCTTTTTCATCATTGCTTTTGATTTCATTGAAATCTCCAAGCATGAGTCTTGGCCTATGTTGATTAAAACCTGCGGCAGAGTCTCTAATAAGATGTTCCCATAAGATCCTTCTATATTTAACTTCTGGATTTCCATATATATAAGACAAACAAAAGAGTTTACTTCCATCTTCCACATACATATCTGTCTTGTTCATAGATGGGTTTCCCAAAAAATGAATCTTAACCCCATCTTTCCACATTATAGCTACCCCTCCGCTACTTCCCCTGGCAGAGATTACAAAAGAGTGGTTATAATCTAAGTCCTTAGCTAAGTTATTTACAAAAGTATCTACTTTCTTAGTTTCTACGAGGAGTATGATAGCAGGATTATGAGTTTTCCTAATATCTTTTAGATGCGGAATTGTCAAAGTACCCTCCCAACCCCTGACAATTTTAGTGTAAGATCCTCATGGTTGCTGTGGCGGTTTGAGGAGAACCGCCAAACCATGGTCCGGTTGTTCTGTCTCAAGTCGCTTTGATGAAGTTGGTGTTGAATGTTCTGCATCTTCCATAGACTTTTTTTTAGTTCCATGCTCTTGTTGAATGTCCGTTGGATCTTCTTGAGGGTTGATTTAGTTGGTTTTTGGGCTTAAATTCTTTTCTTTTGTCAACAATCACTGAAATACTTAACATCAGATTATGGACCGTTTGGACTTATTCATGTATATGTATGTAATTTGGCCGTTGTAGGAATTATTCTTGCGATCTTTCTTATCAACAATTTTTTTTTATGTTAACCAACTTCAAGTTTGTGTTCATATATCTTCAATATATAGCCTGAACCGTGCTTAGAGAAAATAATTGGATCTCTAGATTTGAAACTCTAATTATGCGAGCTTAATCTTCAATTGGATTGATCGTTTTGCAAGATGTACTAGCCTGTTCAGTTGAAGAGTTCACTTTAACCCCAAGAACATTATGCCTATCGATATTCCTAGCACATGTAAAGGAATGGAGGCAAGGCACGAGCCATTGGTGTAAGCAAATTCTCTTCATGGCAATAAAATGAAATGTAGCTGAGAATCTAACTAAAATATAGGATATGATTCCATTGGCACCAAAAACTTGGCAATTATCTTCTCATAAACCAGAAAACAAAAGATACGAGTTCGCAACTAAAGAGAATTCAAATGAAACATATCCCGAAAATAACAAGTGACAGAGCAGTATAGATTCTCAATTTCTTATCACTGTTGTTTGGTTTCGACCTTCTTCTTCTGCCAGAGCCTGTCGACACCACTGTCTGCGTCTCCCTGCAATTTATGTTTCATTCAATCCAATCATACATTTCACAAAAACGCGGAAGCCTTTTATTCGAGTATTAAGATACTTAAAAGGTAATCTCAAGTAGATTAGTTGAGAGTTATACACAAACCTGAGCACGGACAAATCCGCAGAGAGCGAGAGTGGTGAACTGGCCAGTGTAGATACCATCGGCATCAAGATGACCGATGTTAAGCTGAACAGATGCATGATCCTTTGAGGTGATCAATCTGTTTGTCGCCGAGCTGCAAATTGACAACAACAAAAAGAATCAGCTAAATATTTAAACAAAACAGTAAATATTAAGAATGTGAAGAATAACAACAAAGCCAATATACCATTTCCTGGGAATGTATAGCTCGGTGACGACACCTTCTTCGTTCTGCATGATTCTTAGCTTGAAAAATCGATCTGATCCATGAAGAAAAAAAAACGTCTGATGAGCAATACAATTTCATTTTAATGAGAAAAGTATTTAGGAACAGATGACAAATAAAGTGAAGAGTAATCTCAAGCTTCTCTAACATTCAAAGACTACATTTAAAAAACATTCAAAGAAAGTCTACAATAGAATACTACGCGAAACGCATGCAGCCTGAATGATTCTAACAAGTTAAGCAGCAAAACGAAGTATGATATACGAATACAGAACGTGCCTTGGGAGAATTTGTCACCTGAGAGAGGAAGAAGAATCTGAGAGCACAGAGCAGTTCGACGGCGATGGGAAAAAGCAATTTGGTATTTATAGTTGCGAGCTCTTAGGGTTGGCTTATTTCACTGTGGATGTTAAAGACTATTATACCCTTCATGTATTTTAACTAATAAGCGTACCGGCCAATTTGAGCGGGTTTATAAAACTGAAACGAACCGAACCGATCTACCGACATTTTCTTACCGGAATTTAGCGGACATGTATTTGAAAAAACATTTCCAAAAAATACTCTATAAATACAAATATTAAGTTTTTGATTTTTCAAAAAGAAACTCTAAAACTTATTTTTTATTCTTTTGGTCAAAAAACTATAAAGCTTCAATGAAGTTTTGAATAGTAAAACTTCAAATATAAAGTATTACTACTCAAAACTTCAAATTTGATGTTTCATATTTTTATTTACACTAGGTGATTTTCCCGTGCTCATGCACGGCTATAAATATTTTTAAAATAAATATATGATAATAATTGATTACTATTTAGTTTAATTTTCAATTAATTTATAATATGTATGTATTATTTATAAAAATAATATTATATTACTTTAATTATACTTTAGTTTTATATATGTTATATCTAGTCGATTTTGTTGTTTTTACGGTTGATTTAGTTATCATTTGGATAAATTGGATTGCATATCTGAATTCACTGTAATATTTTAAAATATATTAATTTTTTATTAATTACATATTTGCATATAGTGGGTGTTGTCTTAAATATGTAAATATATTTAGTAAAATTATGTATAACTTAAGATATATTGTGCTTAGAATGAATTAAAAATTAACTAAAGTGTCTGATTCCAAAATACGTAAATTAAGATAAAGATAATATTCTAAAGTCTCATGCATATATATAAATTTTACAAAAGAACTAAAATTGTAAGAGTTGGTTAATATTTATTTTCATTTATTAATATGTTTTGTGTTATTCTATGATCAATAAAAGGCTACATGTATAAGTAGTTGATATATTTTTGGAACCTCATAAACACATATCAATATTTACAATAATTAAAACATTTATAAAGTCTAACTTTATGCTTTAGATTTATTGAATGTAAACTGAAATTTATTTTAAATAATCTTAAAATTGGAAATTCAGATTTGCTTTGGTATTTTGATTATGGTTATTGAATGTAAACTGAAATTTATTTTAAATAATCTTAAAATTGGAAATTCAGATTTGCTTTGGTATTTTGATTATGGTTATATTTAGTTTCACAAACATTAAAATTGAAAATTTAAAATAAAATTTAATATTAAGAAAAATGTAATTTTAATAATGATAAATTATTTGATCAAGCGATGTTTATTGTTAAATTTATTTTTCTTTTTAATATCTCTTAAAAATAAGCACTACATAAAATTATGATTGTATTTGAAAATAATATTATATAAGTAAAATATAATTTATAGATAATTTTCTGTAGTTGAAAAATATTATAGTCAACTAAATATATGAAAAATAAATAAAAATTCAATAATACTAATTATAAAATATTTTTATTACTCTAAAAGTATATTTTATGTTATTTAAAAATATTTTTAAATGTATTATTAATATTTTGTGAACTTTCCTTTTTTTATGAAATCATATTATATATACATATATTTTTCGTTTTCAATTTGTTTTTATGATATTTTTAAATGTATTATTACTATTTTGTGAACTTTCCTTTTTTTTTATGAAATCATATTATATATACATATATTTTTCCTTTTCAATTTGTTTTTATGACTTTATAAAAAATTTCCTTTTTATTACATATATTTTTGGAAATTTTTGAAAACGAAACTAAATAAAAGAATTAATAATACTATTTTAACTATTTTTAATTCATTAAGGGTATCAATTTAATCAACCATCGTGAGAGTGAACGTGAGAGCGACACATAAGAAACTGACTTCTCAAATAATATTATAGAGATTTTGTTCTTTACAATTATATATCATATTTATATTCTTAAATATTTTATTGCTTATCATTTTAATACTTAAAAATTCTTATCTCATAAATATTTTAAAATATCTTTATAAATTTAGACTACAGATAACTTTTTTTTTTTAAGAACATCAAAATAAGATTTAAAAAATTGTAAAACTATAACTAGACGACAACAATATTACAAGATTTAATGTGTTATTTTGTTGGTAGTTTAATATTGAATAATTTACTTATTTATAATTTTATACTTTAGTGTAACATTTTATCAATTAATATTGCTGTAATATTTTTATATATGTGCTAAATATTTATAAAAGTTCTATGAATTTAAATTTAGCTATGATAAATATAAGGACCATAGTATAAAATACAAATAGTTTTGAAGTTAATTTTGAAATTTTGCTTTTGGAGCATAACACATCTATATTATTATTTGAGAAGTAAATTTGCTTAGTTGTCATGTTCTTTTTAATTTTAGATAGTTTTGTTTATTTGTCATGTTTTTATGGTTTTGACTAATGATTAATTATTACTCTTAATTAATAATTAGGTTTATTAAAATGTAATTAAAAATAAAATTTAAAACTAATTAATATATAATTAATTTTAATTAAAAACAAATTTTAATTATTGGATAATTATCATTTTAAAAATAGTTGATATTAATGAACCATAAACCAAAGTAAATTAATATATAATACCATTAATTAAAACGAATTTCATTGATTTGATAATCATCATTAAAAATAATTTGAATTATGTTTAAATTATTTATTAATGTTAGTGAACAATTATATTTGTTAATATATAATTTAATACAATCAGAAACAAATTTCGTTGATTTGATATTCATCGTTGTATAAAAATAATTTATGTTATGTTATTCAAAAATATATATTTTACATTATATATATATTTTTTTAAAAAATTTTTAAACTATAAAAAATAAATCCTTTATATATTGTAGATTATATTAATGCATATATTAATGTTTCCAAATTTATTTTATGCAATAAAAGATCATTTTGTTATATTGACAAATTTTGATATGGGAAAATTGCCAAATATGACTCAAAGCTTGATTTGAAATGCAAAAGTAAACCCAAACTTGAATCAAATGCAAAAGTAACTTAAAAGACTGTTGAAATTACAACCAACCCCTTGTGAACAAACAAAAAAAGAGTTTTTTTTTTTACGTTTTTAGCCCTTGCAAGTCGTCTGGGACAGTTTTTCTTAAAAATAATTTAAAAATTGTGTAATAAATATTTTGATAAATGAAAAATTGGAATTATGTAATTAACATATGTCTTAAGAGATATAAATTAATATATAACAAAATTCAGTTGTTTTCAGCATAGATGAGTGAAAGTAGTGAGTCATGATATTCTTTGGTTTAGGTTTCACCAAC